CCTCTTGTGCTGCAGAAACACCCCAAGCCACGGGCTGAGTCTCCGGCTCCCAGATTTACTTGCTGTGTGACTGTGGGCAAGTTGCCTCCCTCTTTGAACCTCAGTGTCCTCAAACTGTTAAAAGAAGATTAAAATTTTCATGCATGGTTAAGGCAGTTAACAGATGGAAGGTGTCACTGTATAAATTACTACTGCTGTTCTTTTGTAAAAAGCCTTGTATGGTAAAACAAAACACAAATACAGGAAGCCACATAAAACAAATGTAGAACTTAATAAGATGAACGAACCCTTTATAACCAGCAGTCAGATCAGGAAATAGGAGCCTCTCAACTGTCCCACCTCAATTACAGCCTGACTTCTATAGGATTTCTTTATAGTATTATCGCCCAAGTGCACATCCCTAAACAGCAGAGTTTGGTCTTGGCTGTATAAAAAATGTGTGTCTTTTAAGTCTCTACTGATTCTCCCTCCATCCCTTTGATTTTCTGACAGTTTATCTTTTGGAAGAACCTGGGGCATTTGACCTGGAACATTTTAAAGAGTCTGGATCACTGCTGTTATTTTTCATGCATTCTTCTCCCTCCTCCACTTGGATTTGGAGTGATATAGATCTGGGTTGCAGTCCTGAGTCTGCCAGTTGCTGTGTGACCTTGGATAAGTTACTTAACCTCTCTGAACCTCTTTCCTCAAGGTGACCTAGAGATTTCTTAGGGCCTTCCAGCCTTCTCAATCTCCTCTCTCAAACACCAGGCTCCTGTCCCACAGTCTCTTCTCAAAAGTAACTTTATGGAGTAAGAGAGAGACCTAGCATTGGAATCCAATTTCTACTGGGACTAGCTGTGTGAACTGGGATAAGTTACTTAACCTCTCTGAGTTTCCTTCTGCTTGTCTTTACAGTGGGGATCCTAATATCTAACCTATGAATCTGGAGCAAGGCTTAAATGAGATCATGTTCCTAAAACATTTAGCGCCTGGCATCTAGTATGTGCTAAATAAATGTTGACTATTATTGTTATTATCATTAGCTATTATTATAGGTAACACATATTGATTGCTTACTCCGTGCTGGGCATTGTGTCAAATGTCTTAAGAAGTACTAACTCATTTAATCCTCACAACAATGCCATGAGGCAACCTGATTTTATTGATGAGTAAGCTGAGGCACAGAAAGGTTAAGTAACTTGCCCCCAGTTGCACAGCTAGTAAGCCATGGAGGTGGGTCATAGACCTAGGCTGTCTGTTAGCCACCGAGCTATACTGCCTCGAAAACTGTCTACTGTAATTTCCCCTCTGCTCGTCCAAGCCCAGAGTGAATTCCAGGAGGTTGAAGATGGGGCCGTAGCTGAATCCAGGGTGATAACATCCCAGGGTGAGAAAGTATTCTGACCCTAAAGTGAGCCCAGCCAGGGCATTAATTAGCCTGGGCTGCCCCTGGTTGTTTCCTGCCCCCACCGTCTAACATTTTTACCCACTGGAAACCTGCCTTCGCCAATGAGGACACCAGAGAAGGTCCCAGCTGGCGGAGTGGCCAGGAGTGGCCCTGTGTGTTTGCCACCATTGCCATTTCTGGATTTCTGTGGATGTGTGAACATGTGGGGTGGCAGATGGTGATTTTGTGTGTGTGGCTGGGCTGAGGGGCTGTACCTTCCTCCATGTCTGTCTGTCTGTCTGTCTCTGTGGAGAGACAGTGTAACCGGCTTGTCCAGGTGTCTATCCCACTTCTGCCACCCACTGGATGTGTGACCCCAGGCAAATGATTCACCTCCTTGTGCCTTGATTTCCTCATGTATATAAAAATGGATGTGGTGACAATAATAATACCGACCTGATAAGGTTGTTCTGAAGATGAAATGAGCTCCTCCCCAGAAAGTGCTTCAAACAGCACTGGGCACTGAGGTCGTCGCAAAGGCTTATATGTGTTAGGTCTGATTGAATGTGTAAAGGATGGGTTTCTGTATATTTATGCAAGGGCACCTGAGGGGGGACAGTAGAAAGGACTGGAGGGGCGGAGGGAGCGGGCTGTCTGTGATTTGTGGGAAGAGGATATTCATGTGTGTGTGTGTGTGTATGTGTGTGTGTGTGTGTACACGTGCATATACGTGTGAGTGGTATGTGCACAGTGGATGTGTGTGCATTTGGTAAATGTGCAAGGATGTTCACTTCCAGAACCCCAGTGACCATACAGAGAAGCTCCAGGCCCTAGGGCAAGTCACCAAGGCTCCATGTGCCCCAGGAACCTCATGTGTACAATGCATGGGGTGACTTCCTCAAAGGCGGCTGTGAGGACACGTGAACCAACGTAAGTAACATGGGAGAAGGTCACATGAAGCATTCTGAGAGAGCGGGGCAGAACTGTTGACACTCCTGGGTTCCTAAGTGCCAAGGCTGCCTATGTTCTCCTCCCCTGGGCTCAGAGCTCCTCCTGGCATACCATGGATCCCAGCTCGCTGTAGGCAGAAAAGCCCTTAGTCCACTTTCTCTAATGGGACATCTGAGGCCCAGAGAAGGATAGGAACTTGCCCAGGACACCCAGCATACCGTAGGCAGAGATGGGGCTAAATTGGAGCCAGTCTCTCTTGTCCTTCTGGGGTGGTGGGAAAGCCCTGCAGAGGTCGGGGTTGGCAGCTCTCACTGCTCAAGGCTCTGCCCCACGTCCCCCAGCATCCAGCCCGGGCTGGAGGAAGCTGTTCCAGCAGGAAGGCGTGTGCTTTGGCAGCAGGCACTGTCTGGACCACGGACGCTGAGGCTGGGCGGCTGCCTGAGGTGGGAATTCCATGTGTCTCGGGAGGACCCTGCTCAGGTAGCCCAGTCCCAGCCTCCAGCCCTGGGCTGGAGAGTCACCACCTGGTTCTGCCTGGGGATTCTCAGAGGTCACTGGAGGAGTAGGCTGAAGACTTGCAAATGCTGCAACTTTGGTTTTTTTATGTACCATCTTTTTTGGAAGTCTACCCACCTCGTTGCAGAAGTATTGCTTGTTATTCGTGGAGAGTACAATTAATCAGCGAGGAGAAAATTAAGTTTTCTTAACCCAAAAGGATAGCAACTCAGAGATCAAAGGGGATTTGACCACACACACACACACACACACACACACACACACACCCCTGCATGCTCATACATGCATCTGTACACACATACATGACACACAAACCATAAGCATGTGCATATATGTATGTGCTTACCCACATACAACATACAAGCACATGCATACTCATGCAGGCACACACACATGCAACATACGCTGTGTGCCACTTTCCAAGCGCTCCACAAATGTTAGCTTGTCTAGTCCATGCGACAATGCTCCAGGTAGGTCCCATATGACTCGCATTTTACAGGTGCGGCACAAAAATGGTTGAGTAGTTTGCCCAAGGCCACCGAGGCAGTGAGTGAAGTAATGGGGATTTGAACCCAGCTCCATGGGCTTAACTAATGAGGCTACGCTGTGCTACGTTTGAGCGGCATCATTGTGAGTATGCTCCTAGTTTTGTTCCCAATGCATCTATATGGGTTTGGTTATGAAAATGGCATCCTCTTTACATACTCATAGGGCGCTAGGGTCAGACTTGGATGTGAATCTGACTCTGTTGTAGACAGGCTGGCCTGACTTTGGGCTGTTCCTTCACCTCTCTGGGACTCGGTTTCTTTATCTGTAAAATAGGGAGCTGTGGAATCTGTTTCTGAGAGTTAGCTGAGATGGCGTGTGTGGAGCACTCAGCCCGGGCCTGGTGCATAGCAGGTGCTCATGAGATGGGGTCATGTTAGGTGCCTGCTCTGAGGCCAGAGGACTTTGTAGGGAAAACAGTCAGGAAACACTCTCTGGATGCTGGTGGCCTTAATATGTTGGGGTCTGGAAGGCACAGAGAAGCCTTTGCATCAGGGGTCTCCCGAGGCGGGTGGTACTTCCTCCTGGAATCCCTGCCATTGCCACATCCCCACCCTGACCAGCAGTCTAGCCCCAGCCCTGCACGTTCCAGGTGGAAGCAGGAACAGCAGAAGTGAGAGGGTGGGCGAGGAAAGCTTTCAAACGGGCAGTGGGCGGAGCCTCCTGTGTACGTCTGGTCTGGCTCGAAGGGGTGGAGGCTCTGGGCTGGCGCATCAGAGGCCATCAGCTCCCAGGGGACCGACCATTCAAGTCGCTGTGCTGCCAGGTGGGCCAGGGTGTCTGCAGAGGTCCCCTGCCTCCTCTGCCACCTCCTGCTCCCCGCCTGGGCTGCCTGTCCTGGGTATGCGCCTGGGGAGCCTGTTGCCTGGGCTCCCACACCTCTCCCTCTGGCTCCCTTCTCATCCTCTCTCTCTCTCTCTCTCCCCCTCTCCTCTGTTCTTTTTTCCTCTATTTTTCGCTCTGCTTCTAGCTCTCTCTCCCTCTTGTCTGTTCTTTTTTTCCTTTGTCTTTACCTCTATTTCTCTCTCCTTTGTTCTTTCTTTTTCCCCTCCTATCATCATCTCTCATTCTCTCTTGTATCCTTCTTTCTATTTTTTCTTTCATCTCTTTTCCCTGTATCTTCTTTTTGGTCTCTCTCATTTTCTTTTTCTGTTTTTCATGTTTCTTTCTCTCTGCCTCATTCATTCTTCGCCATCTGCTTCTTTCTGTGTCTCGCTCTCCATCCAGAAAGTGCAGCAGCTCAGGGATGAAGTGCCCTCACTAAGCTTTAGGGAAATTTGGCCCTGCTCCTCCAAGGGTTTTGAGGAAGCCCCCTTCAAGCAGGATGGGTGAAGAGGGTGTCCAGGCTGGGGAGGACTGGGGTCTGTCTCTGGGGCTGGTGGGATGGAGCCCTGGTCTTGACGTGGTAGCACCATCTCACCCCAGGTCCCGGTCCAGATTAGCCACTGTGGGCATTTCTTTCTGTTGCCCACTGGGGTGGGAAGGACTGGGCGTTGAGCACCTTGGAGTTAGGAAGTCTTTGCCAGGGTCCCAGGGTTAGCATCCTCTGGAGTGGCAGTGCTCGAGAGCACTCAAGGTTTGGTGCCCTCATGCCTACCCCCTCTAGGCAGCCAGCTCTTACTGTACGAGGCAGACGTGTGACCCTTCCAGCCAGCTATGCCCCTGCTGCCTGGCACCGTGGGCCTGGCAGGCCTGCTCTTCTGGGCAAGCCAGACGGTGAACGCTTTAATGCCCAATGCCACCCTGGCACTGGCTCGGACTGAGGGCACAGCCGTGTGGCCCCTGAGCGGCCTGGGGGTGCCCCGCTCCAGGCGGAAGCGCCACATCTCTGCCCGGGACATGAGTGCCTTGTTGGATTATCACAACCACATCAGGGCCAGCGTGCACCCATCTGCTGCCAACATGGAGTATATGGTGAGTCCCCGTGCCCTCCCCAGTTCCCCCTCTGGCAAACGCCACTCGTCTCACCGTGTCCTGGAAAGGCTGGACTATTCCCTAGCCTGGCCCCACTAGCCAGTTTCTGGGTGTCTGGACCCTGTGGAAAGGGCAGGAATTAGTCTGCCCATTTTAACGATGAGGACATTAAGGTGATTGCACAGGTCTTGGGGCAGAGGGGGTGGGGGAGGAGGGGAGTCAGAGGACAGAGGACTGCCACTTATGGAGCACCTACTGTGCCCAGGTGCTCCACATAACCCTGAGGACACACCTCTTTCTTCAGGGTGGGAACTGTCATCTCCATTTTCCAAGTAAAGAAACTGAGATGCAGGAGTTAATTTGTCCCAGGTCACCCAGCAGGGATTCCAGCCCAGGTTGGCCTGCTGCTAAAGGTTGTGGTCTTAACCAACACAAGAAGTCCCTGCCCAAGAATTTGGGCTCCTCACTGGGGACCTGAAGCGAGTGGGTGGCTGGAGCTTTCCATGATATTGTCTCTTTGCCCCAGAGGTGTGATAGACACCCCAGACTGTCCTCAGCAAAGCCTGGGGAGGTAGAGTTTGGAGCCTGGTACCTGGGGGGGTCTCAGGCTGGGGAAAACCAGCAGCTAATCATCAGAAGAAGCTGGGATGTCTGCGCTCAAAGAGACGGAGCTGGTGGCTGTCACCCCAGCCTCCCAGCAGCCAGACTCCCGGAGTGAAGGCGGGAACCTTTCTCTTTATCACAGCCCCTTCTCTGGGGCCATTGTCCCAAACCGGCCTGGAGAGACATCCTTCCAGCCCACCCACAGATTTCTTTCTCCAAAGACTTGCTACTCAACATCCTGAAAATTCTTTTGCAACGTGTCCATTCACTTACATGCTAACGCCTGCGTAGGGTCAGTTACCACGCTAAGCCTCGTGGATGCTGCCCAGAACAGGATGGACGGAAGCCCTTCCCTTACGGAGTTTACATTTCAGTGGGGAATGATAGAAAACCAACATACACAACAAAATATAGAGAGAATATAATGTCAGGTAGTGATAAGGTGTTGGGGAGGGGTGGGGAGAGGAGCAGAAATGGCAGACAGCTAGAGGTGGGGGAACACTTACTTATTTGTTCCTTGACTGACTCATTCATTTATTAACACAGCAACTGGCACATAGAAGGTCCTCCATTTTCAAACAAATGACACATTTATTGAGCACCAGTTATGTGTGCACGGCACTCACGGGTGTTTAATTACGGCCTGTGGTGTGGAGCAGAGAGAGCTAGATGTGTCACCAGGGACCTCGGGGAGGGTCAGTGAGTGTGGGTTTGATATCAGCATGCCTCTTCCCTCAGTTTCCCCCTTTGTAGCGTGAAGGAAACATTCTCCTGCTTTCCTAAGAGACTATGAGTCCCACAACCCTGGGAGATGTTTGTACCCCTCTTTTGGTGCCCCCGTTTCTGCTTTACTAGCTGGCTCCTGCCTGCAGGACAGATATCCTTGCTCAAGGATACCCTTTCTCTCCCACAGCCCCAAGAACGGTCCGGTCCCCTATTTCACATTCTCACATCCGCCAGGATTGTAATGATTGCCTCAAGTCTCATTTCCTTGCTAGACTATGGGTCCTCGGTGCCTGGAAATACTGCTCAGTATCTGCTGAATGAACAAATAATGCCTCAGAGAATCCCAGGAACTCAGAACTGGAAGGGAGCTAGTATTTGTTTAAGCGATGCTTTCTTCAGATTATAAAGCTTGGAATATTTCATACACTGGAAAATGATGACGCTGTTACAAAGAATGAGAAGGGTATTCTCTACGTATGGATGTGGAGTAATCACCAAGATAACCTATTTTGTTAAGTGAAAAGAGAGAGGTGCCAAATAGAATGTCTGGCATGCTGCCATATGTGAATATGTGTGTGTGTGTATATACACATATATCATATATAATTACCTATAAACCATATATAAAAACGTGTATATATTGTGTGTATGTGTGTGTGTGTGTATATACACATATATGTATATATATATATATATACACACACATACACACACACACACACACACCGGGGGTACAAAAAAAATGTATACAAGTGGACAAGTGGACACTTTGGTTCACATTGCTCAAGCAGTAGTTTGCTGTCATCAGAAGTGTCTAGATGCTGGTGGTAACCACTTTGAGCACCTCTTGTGATTGAAGAAGTCCAACGTGACTTGTGTTCATCTTTTGTTATTGGTATATATTGAGTATTACAATTTTAATAGTTTTTTCCTTTCTTAAAATGTGTATACATTTTTTGGCACCGTGTGTGTGTGTGTGTGTGTGTGTGTGTGTGTGTGTGTGTGTATTTATGCTTGTACAGGTATAGAGAATTCTGGAGGAGGACAGTGGCAGTTGCCTCTAGGGGGCAGGGTGGCTGGAGGGACAGGTGTAGGGTAGAGATGAGAGACTTTCCACTTTTCCTCCTTTGGGTATCTTACATATTAAATGTGCATGTGTTCATTACTTTAAAAAAACCTTTGAATTAAATATTTTTAATGTTAAAATAAATATATTTTAAAAATACGATAGGATAAAATAAGTTATCTTCCCCTCACCTTGGGCTCAGCCACTTCTAGGGACTGCTGAGAACTCCTGGACCCATACCCTGAGACCCCACTCAGAGCATAGAGCCCCAACTTGAAGTCCAGTGAGGGGGAAAGGGCACCCTACTAGGTAGGAGTCAGAGAACTGGGTGTGCACCTCGGCTCTGATGTGGACTTGCTGTTGACCTTGGAGTCAGTCATAGGCCTTCTCTGAGCCTCAGTTTTCTAAGCTGCCAAGTGGATTTGTTGCAAGGTTTGAAGGGATGGGGGCGTAATGGCACCAGATAAATGTGTGTCCCTGGACACTGTTGTGATGATGATGGTTGTTCCCCGGGGAATTCCATGGCCTTTCTTTCCCCAGGTCTGGGATGAGCGGTTGGCCAGGTCTGCCGAGGCCTGGGCCACCCAGTGCATCTGGGCCCACGGGCCCTCACAGCTGATGAGATACGTGGGCCAGAACCTCTCCATCCATTCTGGCCGGTGAGTGACCTTCTGCCCTTCCTTCACTCAGTCGTTCAACAAGGTCACCGAGCTGGTTGGTGGCAGAGCGACTTTTCCTTTCTCCCACCCAGCGTCTTCCATCTTCTCTGCCTCCCCAGCTACCGCTCCGTGGTGGAGCTCGTGAAGTCTTGGTCTGAGGAGAAGCGGCACTACTTATATCCAGCCCCAAAGGACTGTAACCCTCACTGCCCCTGGCGCTGCAGTGGTCCGGTCTGCTCCCACTATACCCAGGTACCCCTTTGTCGGGACTAAGGGCTGGTGGGAGAACACATCCTGGTGCCTCAGAAGAAGAATATGGTGGAACAAAAGTTACAAATAAAACAGAGCCCCCTTGGGACTTCCTTCCACATAATCAGCATGTTCCTGGAAAGTTGAATTGAGCTGAGCTGGATCTGGTTTTGAGTGTCAGGTAGGCTGACCAGGTTGTTTGACCTCAAAATGGAGACGTGTGGTCTGACAAGTTTAAGATTTGCCTTTGAATTCAGTGGGTCCAAACATTTTTTAGTATCTTCTGTTTTGTAAGGCTCCCGCTATCTTAAAAAAAGAAATGCCAAGATAAGGTTACAAAAATCATAGTATATTTTGAGTGCTAATATTGAATATGTTAACACTTATCACACGTAAAAATGCAATGCAATATAATGTGGCAAGAAATAGGACAGAAACTTCCAATTGTATGATAAATATTATCTCTCAGCCCTGTCAGTCTCTCTGTGACTCATTTGGAGTTAATGTCAAAACCTAAATTTGAGACCCTCTAGGAAATATGAGGCCTAAACCAAATGTCCTTCCTGACATCCTATGAAATATTGTCTCCATTTTACCAAAGAAGAAACTGAGGCACAGAGTGGGTAAGTGACTTGGTGAAAGTCACACAGCAAGTGTTTGAGATTCTGGCCATAGGCTGTTTAACTCCAAAGTCTGTATTTTAACATCCAACACAACAACAATTTTCGAACAGAGGTTACTAGGAAAAAAGAAAAGAAAAAACCTAATAGAGCAGTACAGAAAATATTAGCATATTTCCCACATAAGATTAAATATTGATTCATAAAACTTTTGTTCCAATATTGTGTGTGTGTGTGTGCGCGCGCGCGTGCACGCATACACACATGCACGTGTGCACACACAACAAGATAACAATATAAAATTGATTCCTTATTGGTTGTAGTAAGGAAAAAAAAAGTTGAGAAACATTATGGTGCTTCCAGCCCCCTCACCTTGAGACAGGCAGACCTCACTTAGTGCAAACACCTTGAAACAAGCCCGGGAGCCTCCCAACCCCAGGGAACCCTGGGCCCCTCTCACTGACTCCTTCTCTTAGCCTCCCTGTCTTTGTCCTTCCTCAGATGGTGTGGGCATCCTCCAATCGGCTGGGCTGTGCCATCCACACCTGTGGAAGCATCAGCGTCTGGGGCAGCACTTGGCACCAGGCAGTGTACCTGGTCTGCAACTACGCCATTAAGTAAGTACAGCGCTGAGATGGGGTTCTGGGGCAGGAGGGTGGGTCCTGAGGTAGGGTGGGCAGAATCCTAAGAAAAGGAAGGCACACAGGACACCCCCCCCCTTCTTCCATTCTTAGTAACCTCAATACCATACATTTTGGTAGTCTTAGAGTCCGTTCATAACCCTTTTACTTTACCCAAATTTCAGCATCAACTGGGAGGTAGAGGACTGAGGCAGATGGACAAGCAGTGTCAGTGATGAAGTCAACAGCGGAGAATGTGGCTTCGATCTGCCAGCCAAGTGGGCTTGCAAATATCTCACTGTTGAATTAGAGCTGCACACCCATTGACAAGCAGCACTGGACAACCACAGACAGGCCTCTTCCTGCAAAGGCAGTGCCAGCCCCTCTCAGCTTACCACAGGAAATAGAGCAGCCAAGAACACATGCTCCCCACAGGCAGGCAGATCGCAAAGGAAAGGAAGGATAGAATGAGCAAGTTCAGTCAATCAGACTCTTCCAGACTCTCCAATCAGCTAGGTGGGGGGGACAGATCACAAGTGGTCCTAAGACGAGTCTCTTAGAAACATAGAGAAAGGGAAATGAAAGTTCCCATCCAATGAACAGCATACAAATTTGCAAGCATTACAGATCCTTATACAGAAACAAGAACAAATTCTAAGAAAGCGTGATATTTAGGATTTTTAAATTACATAATGATAACTGTCTTTTACTCTCACATAGTCCTTGACCATTTATAAAATACTTTCACTTTATTATCTCATTGAAGATAAGAAAGAGAAAGAAGGAAAAAGGGAGAGACACTGGGAGAATAGTTTCCCTTTTTTAAAGATTAAGAAATTGAGAATCAGAGAGGGTAAGTAATTTACCAAAAGTCACAAAGCCAAGAAGTAGCAGCAATGTCTGAAAACCAAGCTTTTTTATTCCAAGTCTTATGTTGTGTCTACTATACTATTCTGATGTTATGATGTCATTGGTAGCGTGAACATAAAGTCTCTAGGAATTGACAAAGTATCAGATTGTAGGCCAGCTTTATCAGACAAGGAAAAATATAACAACCAAATTCCATTACAAACAGCGTAAGGGACTGTTCCAATTTGCTTGCTGGCATATTGAATTTTTGCAGCATTGAGTATTAACAGTATAGTTATATTTTTTAACAGTATAGTTATTAAGAGTGTTAAGCTCTGGAGTCAAGATTGACAGGGTTTGAATTGTAATTTAACTTAACTTTTCTATGCTTGTTTCTTCATCTGCAAAACAGATGCCTGTTCTACTCACAGAACTATTGGGAGAATTAAGTGAGCTGACTCAGGCAACCCACACACACACACACACACATCCCAGTCTCATAAGACATTGGGAATATGTGTTGGTTCTTATTGTCACTACCAGACCTGGGTTTTATTCACACACTGAGGACTTGGGACAAGTCGTTTTACCTCTACAGTCTTCTCTTTTAAAATAGAGCTAATATTCCCTGGCCTGCAGATGATCATAGTACACTGTTACCCAAAGTACACGGTAAATAAGTGGCGCCCATGATTATCACTAGGTTATAAACTCTGTGAGGGTGGGAAATAGGTCTTACTCATTCCTACATCCTTTCACTACTGTGATGTCAGCTCTTTGTTTTTTAAAAGCAGTAGAATGTTTATCCAAGTGGTTAAATTAAACAAAAAGGAACTACTCTGATGCCATCACCTCTGGTGTCTCACTGTCCCCGCCCCCAAATTCCCAGGAGACCTTTTGAAAACTGCATACTCAACAGCACCTGGCACAAACCCTGACGCCCAATAAATGCTCCGGAAGTGTCGAATGGATGAATGTGGAGTCCCATCCCAACCAGAAGTGTGCGTGCTTCCCTGAGCACTTTGGCTGATTTTACTCACAGTCATTCCACTATCCCTTTTGGAGAAAAAAGATCCCATTTCTGCCCACAAAGAGTGTGCCTTTGAAGTGTGAGAAAATAAGGCACGGAGACTTACAAAGATTGCTAACGCAATAGGCCAATAGTGAGTTTATTAGGCAGCCACAAGTAAGAAAGAGCTGGGGGAAGGATTTCGGGCCTTGAGAAAGAGGCAGAAAAAGCGAGATCTGTGAGCTGGGATGGAGAAAAGGGATGTGGACTGATGGCGTGTGAAAGCTGGATTCATCCGCGTGCTGCTCGGGCATCCGGAAATGCCTGGCCGAAGGCAGCAGGTGTGATTCTGTCAGCCAGGAGTTGGCAAGCTGTGGCCCATAGCCCAAATCTGGCCTGCTGCCTGTTTTTGTAAATAAAGTTTTATTGAATCACTGCCACGCCATTCACTTACATGTTATCTATGGCTGCTTTCATGTGATGGAGACATTTGGCCTGCAAAGCCTAAAATATTGACTCTTCTGGCCCTTTCCAAAAAAAAAAAAAAAATTTCCAACCCCTGCATAGGGGAGCCACTACAAGCTCTTGAACAGGAGAAGGTGGCATTCAGTGTTCCTTTTTTTTTTTAACAGATTTATTGAGATATAATTCACATACCATCCAACTCACCCATTGGAAGTGTACAGTTCAATGGGGTTCGGTATATTACATTATTAATTTTTTTTAATTGTGGGAAAATATATATAACATAAAATTTGCCACTTTAGCCATTTTTAAGTATATAGCTCAGTTGCATTGATTACATTCACAATGTTTCCAAAACTTTTTCATGACCCCAAAGAGGAACCCTGGAACTGTTAAGCAGTGGCTCCCTATCTTCCTCCTCCCCAAGGCTGTGGTCTGTTGAAAGGATTAACTCAGGAGCAGGTGGAATGGATTTGGGATAAGGCCGTTGAAGAAATTAATGTTTAGTAGTAGCCCCGAATGAGGCTTCATGGGCACGGCCCTCCACGATTGAATTACACTCATCATCTAATTATTCTGGCTCTCATTTGCACAGCACTCTTCTAAGTTAGAAAGTGTTTTCACATCATTTCTAAAGACACCATTTCATTTATTTATTCAGAGGATAAAATCAAGGTTTGAGAAATGAGGTGGTTTATTCTGTCATCAGCTGGCAGGTGGCAGAATCCAGGACCAGGACCAGAACTTAGATCTGCCTGAGTTGGGGTTCAGGGGAAGGAATAAGAAAATCAGCACTACTGGGGAGTCACTCATTTGCCAGGCACGGTGCTAGGTGCACACGTGGCTCCATTATTTTGTCTTCACTGCATCCCTGAGCCGGAGGGAAGCCTTCTCTTGTTTTTACAGATGAAGAAACCGAGGCATGCAGATATGACTTGCTCACAGCCAGTTCGTGGCGGTGCTGAGATTTGGAAACCTGTGTGAAGGTTGTTTCGGTAACTCTCCTCTGTCCCCTGACCCTGTCTTCCTGGGGCCTTTTCTCTTCCAGGGGCAATTGGATTGGTGAGGCACCGTACAAGATGGGGAAGCCCTGTTCCGCCTGCCCCCCCAGTTACCAAGGCAGCTGCAGTAACAACATGTGCTTCTCTGGACCCAAATCCAACAGGCTGCTGTGGTTCTGAATTTGCCTTGGGCTCTGGTGGGCCTCGGGCTGGGCCTCACCCTCCAAGGGTCCCTCCCCAAAGACCAGGTCAAGAATCTTTTTTTTTTTTAAAGACATGAATTGGGCTCAGTCCACTGCTCTGACTTTTCCTCCTCATTCCTCTTTCTAAATGTCTTGCATGTGCCAGAAGAAAACAACCTCCTTGCCTTCCTCTCTCCTCAGTTGCTTCTTTCTTTCTCTGGCCTCTGGGAAAGCGGCCTCGTGTCTTTAATGGACTGAGTTTTCAGAGAGCCAGCGCTGGAAGGAGCAGTGGCAGCAGTTTTTGGACTCGCAGGGCTCAAACTCATAAGTCTTTGTCCATCCAAGAATATTAAATAACCTTTAGCCAGCAGCCCGCCTTCATTCATCCGATAATAGCCAATCAACTTCTGGGCAGCCTTTCAGGACCTGTGGTCCCCTTCCTGAGTTGGGCGCATTTCAGGTCCAGGCTTTTAAAAAATAATTGAAATTAGCTATGGACACCCCATTCCTAGTTCACATTACTGGAGCCACCTCAGGGCCCAGGCCCCCCTTTCACAGATGGGTACACTGAGGCTCAGTGAAGGGGTGTGACTTACTGAGAGCTGCACAGCTTGTCTGCGAAGGCACCCAGGTCAGCGCTCAAGCTCATCCCCTTTAGACTTAACTGAGCACTCAGGACTGAGTGCAGAAAACCAAAGTTGGCCTGAGGGGACTCTCTTTCAGAGCCTGTCTTCTTCTCTCCTCCCCTCCCCCCACTTTCAATCACTCTCTCTCTGCTTTGGTCTCTCCCTTTCATCTGCATGTCAGCTCTATCCCTATCTCTCTTGCTTTGTATTTCTCTTGTAAAATCTTATTCCCATTCGCATTAACCATTTCCCCTCTCCCTACCCCACCCTACCCAGATACCATTAACACACATAAGCCCTTTTGTTTCCAGAGATAGTAAAATTTCTCCCTCAGACCTTGCCCTCCACCTGGGGCCCACTCCCTGCCTGGCAGATAGAAGCAGTTTCCTTTCCCCAGAGTCTCTTCTACCTTTTACTGGAAGGAGTGAATTTCCTTCTTGGCCACAACTTGTGCATGTCAACACCACCAGCACCACCACTACCACCACCCCTGCCCTGCCCCCAATAAAGTCCTTTGAGATCCCGTGCTGTGGCTCTTTCTGGTCCCTGCCTCTCTCAGCTCCCAGGAAGGAGAGAAGGAAATCGAGTAGGGGGTTGGAGGGGGTGGGGGTGGGGAGGGGGAGATAGAGTGAGGGGAAAATCAGCTCAAGAAGACCAGGGGAGGAGATGAATGGGCCCTCAGCCCCTGCTTTGCTCCAAGCCCATGCGCTAGATCGGTACACGTGTGCATGTGCGTATATTATTGCTGCATTTTACAGAGGAGAAACATGAAGGCTTGGGGTGAGTGCCCCTTTTCAAATGCTGGAAATGAGAGAAATAAGAGAAACAAGGGCACTGTTGTGAGTGCATTATTCTCATATCCTTCCTACTTTTTTTGGGGGGGGTATTAAAATGTTCTTTAATTTATAAAACAATGATGATAATTAATGTTAGGTTTTTAAGACAATTATTAATGTCCTTATATTGGGGGGAAAAGGTTTGCCAACCTTATGTCAATTTCCCAAATGTTCTGGAAATTTAAGTGGCACATGACCCCCTGAATTATATGCGTGAGGTCACATAGCTAATGAAAAGCAGACATGAGATGCATCTTCATCTGATCCCAAATCCTGGGTTGTTTTGACTGCCCACCTTACCTTCCTGTGTCCTGATTATGAGAATAACAACCACTGGCATTTATGGACTGCTTAGGACACTCTTAATCTCGTTGAATTGTCACAGCTATCTTAAATGATAGGTACTGTTCCTATCCCCATTTTACAGACATAAAAACTGAGGCCGAAGAAGCTGGATTTGAATCTGTTCTATAAGACTCAAAAGCCGCATGTCTTAATCTGTTCACTGCCCTGCCTCTTAACTGATAAGGGAGAAACTCAGGGGTTGGACAAAGGTAGAGACAATTAAACAAAAAATGGCACGGTAGGGTGGGAATTCCAGATGACTTACTGGGTTCCCCATGTCTGATACTGCCTTTGAGAAGAGCCCGTGCCAGGAGGGAAATGAGAAAGATGGGTCAGCTCTTGCTGGCTATGCCTTGGACATGCGTACCTGGGGGTGAGGACCCGGGGTGAAGGGAGTTGCATTTATGACCCTGGTTTGTTAAGCTCTGTTCCAACTGAAGGGGAACTTTTGTTGCAAGAAATCGGTAACAACAACTTGCAAACCTCTAGTATTTTATGCCCTGAAGACTTTTATAGCCCAGTCTCATTTGATCACTCATTTGCTCATACACTCACCAACCAAGAGGGTTAAGAGCATAGATTCTGGAGCCAGACTGCTTAGCTACAAATTGAACTTAGTGGCTGGGTATGCTCAGCTAAGTTGCTGTGAGCTCTCAATCTCACCTGCAAATGGGGGCACTAGTAGTATCTGCCTCGAGAGGTCATTCAAAACATGAAATGAATGAATACATGGGAACCATTGGGAACAGTGCCTTGCGCATAGTAAGTGCTATAAAATTGCCAGTGGTGATTAATATCAGGGGTGGGCAAACTATGGCTCACCAGCCAAATCCGACTGTCTGCCTGTTTTTGTAAATAAAGTTTTATTGGCACACAGCCATGCGCATTTCTTTATGTATTTTTCTATGACTGCATTCACGCTTCCGCAGCAGACATAAGTAGTTGCAAAACTTAAAATATTTACTAACTGGCCCCTTACAGAAAGTCTGTCGGGCCGGCCGAGTGGCGCGATGGTTAAGAGCTGGCTTGGGACGCCAGAGGGCCCCGGTTCGGATCCCACATATGAGGGCCAGTGACACTGCCCTCCACAGCTAAGATGCTGAACAACAGCTCAACCTGGAGCTGGGCTGCCATGAGTCGCCGGCGACGGCGTGGGCTGCAGTCCCTGTGGCAGTGGATTGCCATGGGCTACCGTGTGTGGCCAGCAGCCAGCGTGAGCGGCCAGCAGCTGCAGTGAGCGGCCGTCCAGAAGCCGGCGACTGATCTGCCTCGCCAGAGAAGAGCGCGATGATGGTGCCAACTTGGGCCAGTGAAGCGACATCCTCCACAACTAGATTGAAGAACAAAACGACAGCAACTTGTCTGTTCCCCTTCCCCCAATTCCCCAGCACTGTTCCTATCCCCCTAATTCCCCAATAAAAATCTTTAAAAAAAGAAAAAAAAGAAAGTCTGTCAACCCCTGAGATCTGCAGTGTTCCTGTATTCCCAGAGCTTATAATTCTAGTGGGACAGTCGAGCATCCAACAGAAGACGGATACAAATACAGTATTATAACGGAAGGAAGTGCTACCTAGGAGAAGAACAGGGAATTACAAGAGCGCATTCTGAACTAGAATGAGTCATCACATAGGTCTTCCTGCAGAGTGATGTTTTCTGATGAAGAAGAGAAGCTGGTCAGGCTCGGGGGCAGTGATGACAATGAGGGTAGCACGCTAGGAGAAAGAGCACATGGCAATATCAGGGACTAAAGATCTGCTGGGTGTTGAGGGGAGAGGGAGTGCGAGGCCAAATCATGAACAATCTTGGGGCTGTACTTGAGGACAATGGGGAGCCACAGTGAGATTTTAACAGTGGAATGACATGTCACATTTGAATTTGAAATGAGAATTCTGGCTACATTCATGGAGAAAAGATTTAATGAGGGTCAGAGTGGAGGCTGGGGTCCAGGGAAAAAGGGCATTTTGGTAATCCAGGTGAGCAATGAAGATGGCTTGAACCAAGGTAGTGACATTGGAAACAAAGAGAAGTGGATATGTTTTTTGAGATGTTTTAGGAAGTGGAATTCAAGGGGACTTTTGTCATGGTTGGGTGTAAAGGAGATGGAGTGGATGAGGGTACCGTTTTATTAAGATGCGTAGAGGGGAAGGTGTTTTAATGGAAGCAAACAGCAGGAGTGCAATGAGGGGCATATTATAGTTGAGATGTCTGTGAAACATATAAGTGGAGATATCTAGGAGGCTGTTGGGTATATGAATCTGGGCTCCAGAGGGGGACATTTAGGTTGAAGATACACCATTGAGAGTCACAGGTGTATGGACGGCCATTGGAGCCATGGTAATGATGAATGAAAGTATGGGAAGAGAACTAATTGAGTGAGAAAAAAAAGTAAATTTGGAAGTAAGCCCCAAGTAACTCTAGTATTTAAGGACAGGTGGAAAACCATGAACTACCAAGAGACAGAGAAGAAAAAAACCCAGTCAAGAAGGAAGAAAGCCAGAAGACTATTGCAGAGTAGATGCTAAGGGTCATTGAAAGGAAGAGGAGTCAACGGTCAAATCCTGCTGGGGGTCTAGTAAAGTGTTCATTGGACGTTTAGGAGTGGAGTCATTCTAATTCACCAATGAAGACTCAATTGTTTGTTTGTGTGTGTGTTGGGGCGGGGCTGGAACAGAGGCAGACTGAAGAAGGGAGTGCTATATATAGGTAGGGAAAACAGAGCTAGTGTAGACAGCTATTTTATTTTATTTTATTTTTTAAAAATTTTATTGGGGAACAGCCGTGGTCATTGGTTACACATTGCTTTCATGCTACAATGACATAGTTGACTCTTTTAGGGAGGGCACAGCTCAGAGTGGCCCATGTGAGGATCGAACTGGCCACCTTGGGGTTATCAGCACCATGCTCTAACCAACTAAGCTAACCGGTCACACCTAGACTGCTATTTAAAAAGTTTAGCAGCAAAGGGAGGAGAGAGCGAATCGCTGAGGTGGGGAAGGAAGTGATTGAGAGAGGTTGGTTGGTTGGTTTTAGTAAAAGATACTACACATTTGTATATTGATTGATTCTGCTTCTAAAAATTTGTCTGACAGATATACTCCCCACATGTGGGTCAAGACACATGTATGAAGACCATCACTGTGTGTAGTGGGGAAAGCAACCTAAATGTCCAGCAACAGGACACCAATAAAATCGTGTATGGGACATTCACACAGGGGAATGCTACACAGCTACTCAAGAGAATGAGGTAGGTGTGCTGGTATGGAGGAGCTAGCCCTTAGATACTAAGGAGGGGGGAAGCAAGTGGCAGAAGAGCGTGTTTAATGTGTTCGCATGTATTTATAGGCATTTACATTTGTATGTCTTAGCTCAGGCTGCCATAACAAAATACCATAGCCTGGGTGGCTTAACCAACGGTCATTATTTTTTCATGGTTCTGGAGACTGGAAGTCTGAGATCAGAGCGCCAGTAGAGGGGTGTCGGTGAGAGCTTTTTCCTGGCTTGAAGACAGCCGCCTTCTCGCTGTGTCTTCGTATGGTAGAGCGTGAGCACTCTCGAATCTCTTCTTATAAGGACATTAATCCTATCAGATCAGGACCCCACCCTTATGACCTCATTTAATCTTAATTACTTCCATCAAGGCCCTATCTCCAAATACAAATTGGGGGTTAGGGCTTCAACGTGTGAATTTTGGGAGGACACAATTCAGTCCATAGCCGTGTATATGTATAATTTCCAGAAATATATACAAGAATTTGTTTAGAAGTTTAATAGAGTAAGATGTAGGAACTAAGGAAAGAGGAAGGTTTATTTTTCATTACATGCTGCTTGTACAATTCTCATTTTTAGCATGTGAATGTATTGCTTTTTCATTTATAAAACTAGTTCAAAGCGAACAAAAGCAAAAGGAAAGGTCACATTACATGGCTAAAATTAAAAAGACTGACAATAACAAATGGAGATTGAGAACATGGAACAAATAAGAGTTCTCTCACTCTGCTGGCAGGAATGCAAGATGGTACGACCGCTTTGGACAAGAGTTTGGGAGTGTCTTATAAATTAAACACACACATACCATATCAACCGGCAATTCCTTCCCTAGAAATTTAACCAAGAGAAATGAAACCTATGTCCACATGAAGACTTGTTCATGAATATACATAGCTGCTTAATTCATAAGAGATCCAAACTGGAGACAATCCCAATGTCTATCACCCGGTGGAGTGGGTGAACAAATTCCAGTATACCCATTCGATGGACTACGACTTAGCAAGAAAAAAGGACGTGAACATAGGTGAATCTCACAAATATGCTGAGCCAAAAAAGCCAGACACAGA